TTTACATGTAAGCACCAGTATAGTTAACTGGTATATTTCTGTGTAACGTGTATTTGTTTCTCATGTAACCAATCACTCTTTCCACATGAATTGCAAGGTGTGCTCGTGTGTGTTCAACATCCTTAGCATCAAGTTCACATCTCCATTTAGTGAATGATGGGATTTGAACCTCAGCACATCATTTATTTATACTTTTGTTGGATGTAACTGGGACCCTGTGTACACAGTTTCATTCCACCTCATGTACAACATGTGATGTGAATGACAATAAAGAACCTTGACCTTGACTCCCACACTGTCTTTAATATCAAAGCCTCTGTCATAACACAATGTCCCCGGGTAATAATCTGGAGAGAAGGCCACAGCTTTCTGTTATGAGCTTGTCTGATGCACATCCATCCCTTGGAAAGAAAATAAAGGCACAGGTATTAGACAGAGTTTGATGTGACACATTAAAAAGATGGCAAAGATGCTGAACAGGATGCATTAGTGTTAATAGAACCATTTGTTTATTTTTTTATACTGGCAGAAAATGCCCAATAGTGTTAAACAATGACAACAAGATGTCAAAGCAATGAAGTCCTGTATAATATTTAATACTTTAAAATTATTTGTCCAGCTGTTTTTTATTCAGCTCTGACCTGAGCTTCCTGTTCTCCTGTAACAGATGGTTTATTTCTGCTCTTCTTTTGTTCACACATTGTATTTGTACCTTTTTGCTGCTGGTTCATGTTCCTCCTCTCCATCATCTGCAGCCTCACTGAGCTCCTCTCCTGGAGTTTCATCCACTTCATATGAAGGTTTGTCTTGAAGAGGACATATCACAACACACATCAGTATTACTACAGTAAAAGTGACAACACTAGAAACTTTAAACAGTTTATTTCACAATAACACAGATGTCCACTCTGTCTAAACTCGGACTAAGTTACATGCAAAATATAAACCCGACTTAAACCAGGTTGACCCACTTCTATGAACATGAACTAAACATGATGCACCTGAACAAAATCATGGCACAAATTTATGGCACAACACCAAACAAAAAACAGGAACATGTCTGCATCGGTTTTTCCCAGGAACTTAGCAGATGTTTAAAGCTACTTAGAGAGGTCAAGGTCGAGAGCTTCAGATCTTTTTGCAAGATATTACAGGAAACAGGAGCGTAGTAGGAGAAGGCCCTTTTGCCTAGTTCAGTCCTCACTGAGGGGACACTGCAGGTAATAATGTCCTGAGAGCGCACGCTGTAGCTGCACTCACGCAGAGACATGTAGGAGGAGATGTATGAAGGCAACAGACCAAGAAATGATTTAAAGATGAAAATGTACCAGTGAGAGAGTCTGGGTGAAGTTAATGATGACCAGTTAACCAGTGAATACTGGGTGCAGTGGTGGGTACGGTAGTTACAGCCAGTTATGAATCTTAGTGCACCGTGATCCAACATCTGCAGGGTTCTTGTAGGAGCGTTCATGTAAATAATGTCACCGTAATCAATGGAGGGAAGGAAAGTCACAGATACAAGGTGTTTCCTAACATTCAGAGTTAAAGAGGATTTGTTTCTGAAAAGAAACCCAGTTTAACTTTCAGTGTCCTTACTAGGTTTTCTACGTGAAGCTTAAAAGAGAGATGCGAGTCGACCAAGATACCCAAATATTTATAGGAATCAACAAACTCAAAAGCTCAAAATGACAATAAGACGTCATGATCTACAGTATCAAAGGCTTTGGACATGTCTAAATAAAGTGCAGCACAGTAATCCTTAGCGTCCAAAGCTTCAACACCATTAAAAACCTTTAGCGAAGAAGTCGTGCTGTGTTGTTTCCTGAAGCCAGATTGGAGAGAAGATATAATATTAAGAGTCCAAATACTTCTTTATTTGAGATTTTATCAGTTTTTCTAAAACCTTAGCTAATATACAGAGTTTGGAGATTGGTTGATAATTGTTCAAAATAGTGGGGACTATACTAATACTGGGACTGGAAATGGTGAAAATGAGAAACCTATTTATGAAGCAACGCTACACCATGCAAAATGTCTTTTGGTGACAGACTCATAAATTTATCACAGTTTGAACTTTATTTTTATCAAGTGACTGATGCCACAAAGGTGCTTTCAACAAAATTATACTTGTGCAGCCAAAGCAAACTCACTCTATCCATCTATCCATCCATCCATAAATCCATCCATCCATCCATCCATCCATCCATCCATCCATCCAGCCAGCCAGCCAGCCAGCCAGCCATCCATCCATCCATCAATCCACTTTACCTGCTTCTTCCTTTTCAGGTCATGGGGGTCACTGGTGCCTATGTCCAGCCATCACTGTGCAAGTGGCAGGGAAAACCCTGGACAGGTCTCTAGTCCATCACAGGGACACAAAGACAAACGAGACAAACAACCATTCACTCTCTCTCTCTCACCTAGGAACAATTTAAAGTTACCAATCAGCCTAACATGCATGTTTTTGGTCTGTGAGAAGAAATAAGACTACACGGAGAAAACATGCAAGGCGATAAGGCGAATCTCTCAATTTACCAATCGATCTACGTTCCTACCCTCATCTATGGTCACGAGCTTTGGGTTGTGACCAAAAGAACGAGATCTTGGGTACAAGCGGCCGAAATGAGTTTTCTCCGCAGGGTGTCTGGGCTCTCCCTTAGAGACAGGGTGAGAAGCTCAATCATCTGGGGGGGGCTCAGAGTAGAGCCGCTGCTTCTCCACGTCGAGAGGAGCCAGTTCAGGTGGCTTGGGCATCTGTTTAGGATGCCTTCTGGACGCCTCCCTGGTGAGGTGTTCCGGACACGTCCCACCAGAAGGAGGCCCAGAGGAAGACCCAGGACACGCTGGAGAGACTATATTTCTCGGCTGGCCTGGGAACGCTTCGGGATTCCCCTGGAAGAGCTGGCCCAAGTGGCTGGGGAGAGGGAAGTCTGGGCCTCCCTACTTAGGCTGCTACCCCCGCGACTCGACCCCGGATAAGCGGAAGAAAATGGATGGATGGATGGAGAAAACATGCAAACTTCACCTAGATTTGAACCGGCGACCTGCGCTCTGAGGGGTAGCAGCTTTACCAACTGCACCACCGTGCTCAAAACAAACTCATCAACCACAAACCGACAAAGTCCATTCTCAATAACCCAGGTATACAATCCAACAGTTTTCAGTCAGGTCATCTGGACAGTTTGTTTCTTTTTTTTTTTTTTTTTTGTGCTGAAACGTTTCACCTTCCATCCAGAAGGCTTCGTCAGTCAAGGAAACACACAACACAAAACTGATTCTTCCCCCAGTAACTTACTCCAAAGTGGAACAAACCAGTTATTCTGGTTCACTTCTCGACGGAAGGTGAAACGTTTCGGCACAAAACAATAAAGAAAAAGAAAAAAGAAACTGTCCAGATGACTGAAAATTGTTGGATCATCAATCAATAAGTTTACAGTCAGAACATGCATTACAGAGATTTTACCAGCAGGGGGAGCCAAAGTACATATTACACAAAGCAGATGCAATAAATAAAAACTACTGTATATTCAATACTTGTAAGACTTTTACAAATTAATAATATTAATAAGCAAATCTGTTGTCTTCTGTGTCTCGACACATTTCAGTGGGTTTGGTTATGTTATTCACTCCACGTACATGACTCATATCCTACAGTAGTTAATAATTAATCGTTATTAATAGTTAATTTTATAAGAAGTTTATAAGAGTTAAAAAAAAAAAGAATCCGTTCATTGGACTGACTCCACCTTGTTAGATTTTTATAAGAAGTTAACAGTGTACAGTCAAGATATATATAGATTTGTTTTATTCTTGGGAAACATTGAAGTCCATTTCTTACACGGTGGTTGCCTCCCACTTGAACCGGAAACGTTTCTATGACGGCCCCATACACTGACGCATTCAAGTACTCACAAAAATTGTAAATTCTCTCGCGCTTTACTTCTCACTTTGTAAACTACATAATTTCGACAAAATGCTTTTATAATTTCTAACTTGAGTGAGCAATGTAAAGTACATTGTCCTGCATTATTTCTGTGCGCTTTCATTTGTAAACAGTTAAATCGAGGGTCATAATTAAATTATGGCCCATATTATACGATTCAGTTTGATACAATTAGTTTGCATTGTCTTTGTTAAGTCGATATTATTCCCGTTTATTTTTACTTCATCGTGGTAACTTCCTTTCAGGGTTTCGCTGCGTGAAGTCCGTTTTAAACCGAAAAGCTCACTTTGTTTATGAAAGTCCGACGCTTGCGCTGAGCGCCTGAACGCCACACGGCAGCGGATGTAGCCGCAGGATTCTAGCGCCGTGCAGCCGCAACTATGTAGCGCTTCACGCCGAAACAATTTGTTCGTCTTGCCTAAAGTGTGCTCATTCTCTCATGTGGACATAGAGGACCTGGACTCGAACGTGGTTCTGTTAAGATAACTGGACTCTCCGTCCGGAACTACAAAACGAAGGAGCCGAAACTGAAGCCTCAGCGACACCACCTACACTAGATTTGGAAGGAGACGTCGGGCTTGTCTAATTTATTTTGTTTGTCTTTAGTGTTTTTCCTCTTTAATGGCACCGCTACATTAGCTAAGCGTCTGTGTGGCAGGGGGCGAACGGGTACCGGGGGCCAGCTCGTACAGAGCAGGTCTGTATCCGCGTTACCGCCCCGTTTTTTTTTTTTTTTGGTTGACACAAGCTGCGCTGCAAAATAAAGCGGTGGGCGTAAAAACAGTGCGTACACACAATGGGGAATAGCACGTCCTGCTGCGTGTCGTCGAGCCCCAAGCACCGGAGGAGCAACCACTCCAGGCTGGAGCCGTACCGGCCCGAGCCCGAGCTGAGCCGCGAAGACACGGGCTGCAACCTCCAGCACATCAGCGACAGAGACAACCTGGACGGTAAGAGCATGGGGGAGAGCCAGCACGGCAGGGACCAGGAAAACAACACACTTACCACATATCAGCTCATCATGATGTTATCAGCTCTTAATGATATCTCAATGATATCAGCTCATCATTTTATTCACACACACACACACACACACACACACACATATATATAATATATATAAGAGCTGTCAATCGATTAAAATGTAATCTGATTAATCACACTCAGGGACTGTGATTAATCGTGATTAATCACGATTAATCGTCGAAATGTAAATATGCAGGTTTTCAGAAAATGTTCTGTTGTCTCAAACCAAACAGTTTTCCAGGTTTTCATACTCGGCAAGGTTTACAGGAGTAATTTTGTTTCAAACATTAATTTAATTTGTCATTAGTTTTTATATTGCTGCTGTTCGGCGTGTTGTTTTTATGCTATTAGCGCTTAGCATATTTTTAGTTGATGTTTTTCTTAGTTCATATCTTTAGATCTTATCACTGTTTTTCTTTTACATTTGATTGTTGGATGGAACTGGGACCCTGTGTACACATTCTCGCTCCACCACGTGTACCACATGTGGTGCGAAGGACAAATAAAGAGACTGATAAATGTTAACTCGACTGTCTCTTTAAGCGTCATCTATGTGATCAAAACATGTAAACAACAATGTTCCCTCTAATTTTTCATGTGTCTGGACAAACAAACAAGCTCCCTGAGCATCTGAGCATCCCTCTGCATCCTCTGTCCTCTCTCCAACTACAAACATGTCCTCTCTAACTGCATCCATATATCTCCTCTTTGTCTTTTTCCTGGCAGCTGCATTTCTAACATCCTTCTACCAATATACCCACTGTCCCTCCTCTGGACATGTCCAAACCACTGTCCCTCATCTGGACATGTCCAAACCATCTCAGTGTGTCCTCTCTAACTTTATCTCCCTGCCCTTCAACCTGTGCTGTACCTCTGACGATCTCATTCCTGATCTTATCCATCGTTGTCACTCCTAAGGAGAACCTCAACATCTTCATTTCTTCCACCTCCAGTTCTTTCACTGGTCTTGTTTGTCATTGCCACTGTCTCCAGACTATGGCTGCAAATCTCTGTCTGGTGATTCAGTTCCGATTTTTGGTGTCACGGTTCGCTTCAAAATTGATTTTTCGATTCAGAAACGATTTTTCTATTGAAATGTTCATACATTTTGTTTCAGTTATGTAACTGACGAGATGAAAAGATTAAACAACAACAACGTAAACAAATACCACATTTATTTTAAACAATAATTTTAGGTTGCTTACTGTATCAAATCAAATATTCATACTAAAAATAGGAACAAATACAGGAGTGTATAACATCCTGTAACTTAAATCACCAGTATTAGTTTAGCTGCCTGACTTTTTCTCAAAATAAAAAAAATCTATGAACGAAGTACTTATATATA